CTAAGTAATTTAAAAATAATTAGTATAAAAGTTAATGTTGTTTTCTAAATAATGAAATGTCATGTTGCAGAAAAGCCTACCTTCCAATTTTTGGCCGTAATAATTGCTTGGGCCGTGCAGCAACAATATTGGGTTTTATTGCACGAAGAGCTCTAAGAGTTGAAAGTTTTATATTACCGTTACAAGCCTTAGACACCCATATAATAGTCGAATTGTCCAATTTGTTTAGGTATTGATGCACAAATTTGTTGCAAGTGTCGTTTATGTTTTTCAAGCACCAATTAAATAATCTCCCAGCAGCGTTGTTTATTGTTACCAAACTGGTTTTCGTCCCAACGTCCTCTTGAAATCCTTCCAATTTCGCCATATTTGATCTGAACACGTGGTCATGTGCATCAATTTCTTGTCCACATTTGCTTCCTGAAAGGATTCCAGAGTTTCCGAGTAATGCGCATGTTTGTGCTGGATTTATCCATGGTTCTCCATTGGCTTGAGTAGTTTCAGTATAATTCGGATTTACTACCTCCTCGAGATAGACACGGAGTGAATTAACTGGAAGGAATCCGGCCTTCTTCAACTTGTCTCTATTAACATTTTAAAAAAAAGCAAGAATACCAGGCTGATGTAATTGGAAAAACTAAGTATTCATAACATATATTACAAAACCTTAATACTATTATTATTTGAATAAATCGTTACGATAACACCCAGGTAGGGCAAAGCATCAATCCTATGATATTTTCCTGACGCAAACTCACACCGAAATAGCATTTGCAGTACCCGCTGCTACTTTTGAGGAACATGTTAGCTGTATGTGCAAGTCTGCTAATTACTACGTTCGTAAAATTGGAAAAATCAGGAAGTTTATTAACACCAAAACGGCTGAAATAAGCTTACTGGTTCATTCGCTGATATCATCTCGGCTGGATTTTTGCAATTCCCCATTAGCTGGCGTTCCGCAAGAATTGCTCAATCGTTTCCAACGTATTCAGAACGCTGCTGCCCGTAAATGTACCGGTGCTCGAATGTATGATCATGTTCCCTTACTGCGTGAACTTCATTGGCTGCCAATCAGGCAGTGTTAAACTTAGTTACTTGTTCTACTTGTTCTGACCTTTAAAGCGATGAATAAAGGACGACTTACTGCACTAATTTTATTGGATCTTAGCGCTGCATTTGATACTGTTGATCACACTTAACTATTCAATCAATCAATACTTTATTTCCAATTCCAGCAACAACAACAACAATAATAATAACAACAATAATAATAATAATTGGATCGCCTGAAGCATTATTAAGGTCTATTATCTAGTCTTTTATGACGCTCTAAGCTGGAGCTCCTTCTACCTTTCTCGTCGTCCAAAAAGAGAGTTTGTGTTGGGAACTCCATGTCAGACTTTTTCATTCTTGACTATTCCGTTCCTCAAGGGTCAATTTTGGGACCTCAGTGGTTCACAATCTACATGCTACCAATTCGTGAAATTGTATCAAACTTGTCTTACCATATTTATGTTGATTATACACAGATCTATATTTCTTTCAAACATTCCGAGGAAGTTGATGTAAAGGTAGAATCTCTCAAAAATTGTAGTTTTGAGTCGAAGACCTGGATGTCCGAAAACTTTCTGCAACTAAATGAGGACAAGACTGAATTCATCATCTTCGGTTCCCCTCAACAAAGGAAGAATTGCCAAGACCTCCACTTCAACATTGGAGAATGTCTGATCGAATTCACTCTTTGTTCGTATTTCTAAGAGATCTAGGCTTCGCCTGTTGCAGAATACATCTGCTAGGATCTTTAAAGGAACAAAGAAATTTGAGCACATCACTTTGATTTTACAAGAACTTCATTGGCTACTGTTTCTTTCAGGAGCATCTTCAATATTTAGCTCATTACTTTTAAGAATCTGAGAGATGATCAAGATATAGGGTATCTTCGTGAACTGCTAGTGTGGTACGTGCCATCGCGAACTCTCCGCTCTGGTACTGAGAAACTTTTGCTTGTTAAGCCTCTACACGTTCATGGGATGATCGATTATTTGCTGTTGCGGCTCCACGCCTTTGAAATAAACTGCCAATAAATATTCGCTCGTGTCAGTCTACTGCTTTTCTCAAAAAAGCTCTGAAGACGCATCTGTTGTCGACTGCTTTTTAATCACAGCTCTCTGTTTGTCTTGCTTGCTTGCTTAATCGTTTTAGTTAGATACACCCATTACTTGAGCACCTGTGAGTAATGAATAGGCAGACCCCTGTGCCTTAAATTGCCTGTAAATCGGTGATGGTGTGGTGTCTCTTTTCTTGTAGATTTAAGGTTCATGGTAATTTTTGGTTCCTTCCTCCTGTAACGCCTTGAGCACTACTGCAATTGATTTGTGCGCTTTATAAATCTTAATATTATTATTATTATTATTATTATTATTATTATTGTTATTATTATTATTATTATTATTATTATTATTATTATTATTATTATTATTATTATTATTATTCCAACTCTATTTGCAACTTTAAGTCACAGCTTAAGACCTATTTGTTTTCCAGTGGCTTTTTAGATGCGACTTTGATCTTGTTTGGAATTGGCGCCATATAAATTCGAGATATTAATATTATCAACTAGATTCGCTCTGGTTTTGCGTTCTCAGTCTTGCGTGACAATGCGCGGCCTTGATTTGTATTATCAGCCGAACGCGTATACATTGTTTAATAATGAATTCCTTTCATTTACTAAATAGAGAACATCTATAATACAATACACAATTCATGAACGAGGGTTCATATCAAGCAAGCATAATGTTAGGTGATCTAGTAGGATAAGTAACATTTCGATGCTTCATCGAGTAAAGTCCGTATCCTATCGTATTCTTACAGATCGAAACGAGATTGATTACTGGTTGTTGTCGGGAATACCAAAACCAGAAGTATGGAAGTGGGCGGGACTCCTGTCTCACCTCCCTTCTTCCTTGCAGAAAATTCATAGATTATCCCCTGTGCTGGCATGTCGAAAGCAGCTACTTTATGCCTAATAACATCTACAAAATTTAGTCCGGCAGCTTAGCAGATGGATGTGGACGTTCCGGACAAAAGCACCATTTTTTTAAATGCTCCTTATGGTCATAGCATTCAATTGTTTGTAGGAACCACCCCATCCGAGGTCATTATGGCGGCCATCTTGGATTTCAAAATGGCCGCCTAATAAAACCTATGTTTATCTATATCTCCACTTCTGAACCACTTGGAATTATAATTCTAATGTCTGAAACTATTTTTTATGGTCAAGGAAAACCATCATACCATTTTTGACCTCAAATATTGTATGGTATCTTAAAAATTACATAATTGTCATATTTTACATTAGAACCATACCCTGACTCTCAGAATTCAAAATCTTTACTATGAACTACAATATTTCATTCGAGGTCATTCTGGCGGCCATCTTGAATTTCAAAATTGCTGCCACGCAAATCCTATATTTATCAATATATCGGTTTTTCTCTGTCGACGCAATGCAGCTCCTGTTGCAGTACACGGTAGTGGAGCCCCGGGCTTATCCTGGGGTGGAAGGTGCTGATGCTCAACATACTGCCTTTGGGTATCTGCGTATACTTATATGGGGAGCAACATTGCCTCGATGGGATAATTGGTATTTGGATTTTGCTGAAAATTCCTCTGGGAATTATTTGGATCTTGTTGGTTTAATTGTCTATGCGCCTTGAGCACTTTTGGCGGAGATGTGCGCTTTATAAATCTTTATTATTATTATTATTATTATTATTTTAAACCACTTAAATGAGAATTAAGATATCTAAAATTGTATTTCATGGTCAAGGATTTATAACACTTGTGACATGGTCAGATGGTCATTAAGATCATAAAAGGTCATTTAAGGTCATTCAATGTATATACCATACCATTACAATTTTTTACCTGGTCAGATTGCCACAAATAGGTCATTCAAGGTCAAATATTGTATGGTTATACACATCTAGATGTGTATAAGAGACAGATAATTCTAATGTCTGAAACTATTTTTATATGGTCAAGGAA